TGATTTAGAAGTATGGTAAGTGAAGTAAAAGACAGTCATCCAGGCAAATTTACATCTAGTGAGAATAAATGAGAACCAGGGGTAAATGGGGAGTCAGAATGTAGTACTCAGGATGAAACATAATACTGCAAATACTGCCTAACCTACACTAAGTACAGTGCGACTGTCATATATATATATATATATTTTTCTTTTTGGGGGGCAGTTTGCCAGTACAGGGATTGAATCCTGGATCTTGGTGTTGTCAGCACCATGCTCTAACCAACTGAGCTAACTGGCCGGCCCCATTATATTCTTTATTCTGGATACTCTTAGCACACACTGGGTGTCTGAATTTTTTTTTTTTGGCAACCACATCACACTGACATCTCCTACTGTGTTACAAATTAGCTAAAATCCGTGGATTATTTTCTATTTAAATATTATTAATTTTTACCTCTTTGCAATACTTGTGCAAATCCTTTTACAAACCTATGAATAGGACTTTCCAATTACAGTCATGTACCATATACTGATGTTCTGGTCAGTGTCAGACTGGATATAGGATAATGGTCCCATAAGATTATAATGGAGCTGAAAAATTCCTATCACCTAGTGACATCGTAGCTGTCATAGGACAACACGTTACTCGTATAGGACCAAATAGGCTATGCTGTATAACGTAGGTGTAGGTGTGTACGTAGTACCCTACACCATCTGGGTTTATGTAAGTATACTCCATGATATTCATACAACAAAATCACCTACAGATGCATTTCTCAGACCATATCTCCATCATTAAGCAACACGTGACTATATATTGATTGTACCAGATATGATGCTTTTGGTGCAAGAAACAGAATATTTCGCTAACAGTAGTTTACTACCTCAAGGACATTTATTTCACTCGTGCAACTAAAAGTCCAGAGGTTTTAGAAGTCCATGTGTTTTCGAGATTGGTTCAGCAGATAAGCAATGACATGAGGAGCCCAGGCTTTTTCCTCCTTTACCTATGCCAACCTCAGTTGTCAGTGACACAGTCATCAAGGTCCAAAGATGGTGGAGGCAGCTATAAGCATCATAGCTCCATACAAAAACATCCAAAAGCAGGACGGGAAAGGTGAACATCTTGACTCACAGGCTTGCTGTCCTTTTTTCTCTTTTTAATTTGATTTTTTAATTTAAAATAAGTTTTTTATAATTTACATACAGCAAAATGCATAAGTCTTAAGTGTACAGTGGGATGAGTTTTCACCAATATAAACCCATCTCTATTAAGGTACAGAGCATTTTTATCACCCCAGAGAGTTCCCCTGGGCACCTTCCTAGTCAGTCACCACTATGGCTATTCCCAACCCCACCCAGAGGCAAGCACGACTCTGATCTCTTAAACCATTCTCCCTTTTTTGCAATCAGGGATAAAAATCTTCCCAGAGGCCCTCTGCCCCAGCACACTTGTATCTTCTTGGCCAAAAAGTCAGCTTGTCTCAGCTGACCTTTGAGTCAATCATTGGCTAATGAGGGTGGCACTATAGATCATTTATGATTCATCCGTCCCTTGGGGATGTGGGAGAGGCCCATCTGATCTCAGCACATTGCTACAGGCCCAAATAAATCTGTTTTGTCATTGTTTTTATTATTTTCTAGCAAGGAAGAAGAGGGAAATGGCTGTACACGCGCGCGCACACACACACACACACACACACACACACACACTACTTTGTCAGTCTGTGTATCCACACATCTAATCTGTCCTATTCTTCCAGCCTTCTTTCACTTACAAATGTGCTAATTATGCTCTCATTCAAGTCAATGATTAAAATACTGAAAATGTCACAAACAAATGTAGAGACCTCCCCTGAAGTTAATACCAACCCACATTCCATTATTCTAACCAAAACTCCTCATCCAGGTCCAAATACAACCAAACATATTCATGCAAGGATATCATGAGAAACTTCATTCAACACTTTATTACTCTGTTTCCCAAACTAGGGTATACACAGGTATGTCAATATATACTTTTCCCCCTAAAAGCCATATATCTAAGTACTTTTCATGATACTTAGCTTATTATCAGCTTATCATAAAATGTCTCCGTCACTCTCGTGTATTTATCACTTGTTTTGTGCCCATTTCCTCTCTTTGTATACAAGGGAGGTATATTAGTCCATTTCTGTCACTTATTACAGAACACCTGAAACTCAGTAATTTATAAAGAAACAGAATTTATTTCTTATAGTTTTGTAGGCCGAGAGTCCAGGGCCTTGTTCTTGGTGGTGGTTCTACAGTGACACAAGGTAGCATTTGGCAAGAATGGCTGAGCAAGACAAAGCTAAGCTTCTTACCCTCCTTTTAAAGCCATCAGAACCACGCCCATTACTCCATGAATGGATCAATCCATTTTTAAGGCCCTCGTCCTCACAATCTAATCACTTCTTCAAGGCCCCACATTTCAATTACCATAATAGGATTTCCCACTCTCTTAACAGTTATGGTGGGGACTAAGCTTTAATGAGTTTTCAGGGGACATTCAATCCACAGCACGAGGGGTCTTCAAAAAGTTGGTGAAAGAATTCATAATATCATTTAATTCAGTTTTTCTATGAACTCGTTGAAGTACCCTCGTACTTGCAAAAGCTGAGCTCATGTGAGAGAATGAACAGAAAGATAGCCTGTTTTCTTTAGTTACCCTTCCGTTTTTCTTCTGTTTCAGTTTGTTAGTGATTTCGTGGTAAGTCTCCAAATTCCTTTTAAATTCAGCTTCCTTTTGGTTTCTATCTAATGTTTTTCTAAGATCATTGGAATTTAAAAAAATCTGCTTTCTAAGCAATGCCTAGATTTACATATCTAACTGTGGCTAGCATGTTCTTTTATTATTTTTTGTTGTGTTTTTTGTGGCTGGCCGGTACAGGGATTCAAACCCATGACCTTGGTGTTATAACACTATGCTCTAACCAACTGAGCTAACTGGCCAGTCTTCCTTTTATTATTATGAACTTTAAAATGGCATTGGCACACCCCTTTAAAATGATTTCCATAATGTCTATTTCATCCTTATTGGTTATAATTAAGTCCAGAGAAGCACATTACTTTGTTGCATTTTCTACCTTCTCCTAGATGAGAGTATCAGCCTAGATGAGACTATCATCAAGATCAGTAAACAAACAAACAAACAAAAAACATCAAATCTTCTGCTTTAGCAGAATGGTGCTTCCAGGGCGTAGACATGTAGTTTCCAGTCATGGCACTTATCTGCCTCTAGGTCAGATCTGATACTTGCATTAGGAAAGCAGCAATCATCTTCATCTAGTTAAGATATCTGTATTTGGCTCCCACAGTATTATCAGTTTATGTGTCTTACCTTGTACTCTCACAAGTACAAGATATGTTCTCTACCAGCCTTAAACCTAGTAGCTCAAGGATTTCCAAGTAGTGTATTTTCCCACATAACTCAACCTGTGTTATTTTACTTTGCATAGCATATAATCTCCCATTGGCATATTCCAGAAATTAGGTATATTGCAACAAGTCTGTCATGCCTAAGAGATCATATTTACCTATTTCCATCATATTTTAGGTTTACATTATCTTATCAGCCTTAGTAAAAAACGTACTAGTGTTAAGTGTTTATCAAAGATATAGCTGAAAGAAGGTCAATCATCTTTTAATATTTAAAAAAGGGATCCTTCACAAAGTAGTATAGGCACCAAGGAACAAACTTAAAGGAGACTTTTTTCTACTTCAAAAATAATTTATTTTTTCTTTAGTAAAACTGAAATAAGTGGGGTTTTTCTTTTCTTTTTTTCTCTTGTGAATCAATGAGATCCTTTTTTCAGCTACTGGGTAACCTTCAACTTAAGTTATACTTGACATACTCCAATTATCTGATTTTATCATTTTATCTGAGCATTGTTTTTCTCTTACTTCAAATTTCAGTTTAAAGTTTTCTTTATCAGGTTGGCAAGATGCCTGCAAAATGCATTCTCTCAGTTCTCAAGAGATACACTCAATCCCTTATAGGGAGTCTGTTACACTAACAGCATGAGCTCTAGTTCAGAAAAGCTAGTTGGGGTCATCTTTTCCTGCTTTCATAGAGTGCTACTTGATAGCTACTACTTTTTCATCTTTCTTCAAAGAAATAGTCTCAACTGGAAAAGGAGATGAAAACGCCACTTCAAATGCCCAAACCAAGTGCCAATTATCATTCATTGCCATATGAGTCAACAAGAATACGGTGTGGTCTGTAAATTTGATAAGACTCAGAAAACCTCCTGAGGAAATTTCTCCTATCAGTTCCATCATGATTTACCTCAATATAAACAAGAAAGAAATCAGATACCTTCCTTCTTTTCCCATATCTGGAGGATTTGGTTTGGATGTTTATACTCTGACAAGAGTATAAATGCCTTTAGAGACCTACAGGCATTTACTTAATGTGTAAAGGATATGTTATAAATTATCAGTCAGTGTATAAAAAGATATAGATAATATTGTCAAAGACTCCTTTATGGGTCTTTAAAATACACTCCCTTACTGATGATGGTTACCAAGAACTCATACATAGAACTTAAAATCTGAGGTTGAGCTTGAAAGTATGCCAGACATAAGACAGGCAGAAAGACGTAGTAATATTGTCTTCAGGAATGCACAATCCAGTTAGTAAGCTGGCACTCCTGAACCTAGCCACGTGTACACATCCTGCTGCTGTAACATCAGGCTTCTGTTAAAAGGGTGGTACACCCAATTGACTGGAGCACTGGGCTCATGTGAGTGCTTTTTAGATGATTTTATAGCAACAATGAAACATAAAATCAATATTACTTGAGAATCTTAGAAGAATATATATCAATTTAATAAACGTTCAATAGAGGGAATAGATTTCATAAGAACTCAACACACATACGAATAATAATTTAAAGGTATCTCCATATGGAATTTTTATGACAAAGAATAATGTAAATAAAATCTTCCGTCCAAAATTATAGCAATACTGAAAATTAAGTAACAAAGTTACTTACTTTTACTATGATAAGCCTAGCCAGGTTTTCACATCTTTGATTATCATTTTCTGTACACTCTACTTCAAACAGCGTATTATAATTTTCTAGGATTTTAGCCATTATCTTGTTGCAAAGATCTTGTTCTTTCATGCCTTCAAGCCCAGATGGAACACTAGAAATAAGAAATAAAAAATTGAGCAAATACTTAGTAAAAACAAAAATGCCAGCATAGCTCACTCAGACATATATTTTGACACCTCCTAAATGACTGTCCTTCTTATAAGGATGCAGGGGATTTTCAACAAGCTCTATGGTAATATGCTTGACATTGCTGGGACATTGGTGAGTTCCCAAGATCTGAATCAAAAGCTTATGCTGAATAAGAAAAGTATAAACTGTTTAAGAAGAAGATATAGATTAACGCTGATGCCAGTAATGCTTTGAATATATTTTAAAGGATTACATATAAGGTAACATTTATATAAAAGTAAAAGTGAAAAACAATGAGTATTATAACAACAGAAATATTCAACCACACAAATAATAGCAACACAATCTTTATTTAAGGATTTCTTGGGGGACTTCTGGGAAGAGGGCAGAATAGAGATGCCCAGGGCATGTTCCTCTGGCAGAAGAAGATTGAAATGGGCCCACTGCCCTGCAACTACAGTTACTGGAGCCACTGCCTGGTCCCAGAACCACTGCCCATCACAGAGCAGCTCCCTGCAAAGCAGCAGTACTGCGGGTGGCCCGTCACTACAGGTACAGACTCCACAGGCATGAGGGAGGCAGCTGCAACTACAGCCACCACTGCAAGTTAACCCCACTGCCACCAAGGACACTGCAGGTGCGAGGGAGACATCTGCAGCTGCTGATGCTGCTGCCACTGCTATGAAGTAACCCTGTTGCCACCAAGGAAACCTCCAAGGAAACCACAGGTGTGAGGGAGGCAGTTGCAGCTGCTGGTGCCACTGCTGCCCCCATGAGCTAACCACGCTGTTCCTGTGGAAACCATAGATGTGACAGAGGCAGGTGAAGCCACTGGTGCCACTGCCACCCCCATGAGGTAACCCTGCTCTCACCAAGGACACAGCAGACACCAGGAAGGCAATTATAGCTGCCAACACTACTGCTGCTGGCACAGGTAACTCCACTGCCACTGCAGACACCGTGGCTGTGTGGGCTGCTGTTGTGGAAACAGCAGCCAAGTGTGTGGTTGCTGCAACTGCCACTACTGCGGTTGCTGCCACCACTGGCACTGCCAGGCAGCTACCATTATTGTTTGAGCAGCCTAACACTGCTGGAGCCACCACTGCTATGCGGGCAGCCTACCAAAGCTACCCCCACAACCACCACCACAAGGGTGGCCTGCTATCACAGGAGCAGCAGCAGCAGTCACTGCCACTGTGCAGGGGGACTGCCAGCCACTCAAGTGCATTGATACAAGGAAGATCACCAACAGAGTTCTAGGAAGGAGAGTAACAGAAGAAAATACTGCTGTATCAGATGACCAGAAAAAGTAGAGATACTAGAATATGAAAAAACAAGACAATATGAGTCCAACGAAGGAATACAATAATGCTCAAGTACCAGACCCCATAAAGCAGGAAACCCTTGAAATGACTGAAAAGGTATTCCAAGTTAAAATCTTAAGAAAACTCAAGGAGGTACAAAAAGACACACTTAGATGATGCAATGAGCTGAATGTACTATTCAGGATATGAAGGAGGAAATTTTAAAAAAGAATGTAGCAAAGCTCATAGAACTGAAGGAGTCATTCAATGAAATAAAACAACAACAACAACTGAGTGCTTAAGCAGCAGGTAAGAGGAAGCAGAAGAAAGAATTTCTGATCCTGAAGACAGTCTCTTCAAAATAACACAGGCAGACAAAAAATGAAAAAAAGAATTTTAAAAAATGAAGAAAAATCAAAGACAGAGAGCAGACAACCTCAAGTGTACAAACAACCAAATCATGGGTATTCCTGAAGGGGAGAAGAAAGGAAAAGGCATGGAAAACATATTAAATGAAACAACAGTGGAAAACTTCTGCTGTAACATCAGGCTTCTGTTAAAAGGGTGGTACACCCAATTGACTGGAGCACTGGGCTCATGTGAGTGCTTTTTAGATGATTTTATAGCAACAATGAAACATAAAGAGACATGGACCTTCAAACTCAGGATGCTCAAAGATCCCCAAACAGATTCAATCCAAAAAGGTCCTCTCCGAGGCACATTATAGTCAAACTGGCAACACTCAAAGACAGAGAGAATCTTAAAAACAGCAAGAGAAAAGTGGTAAGTCACCTCTAAAGGTGTCCCCATCAGACTAACAGAAGACAACTCAACAGACACTCTATTAGGCCAGAAGAGAATGGGATGATATATACAAAATACTAAAAGAAAAAAACTGCCAACCAAGAATACTATACCAACCAAGGCTATCCTTTAGAAATGAAGGAGAAATAGTATATTTACCAGACAAACAAAAACTTTGAGAATTCACTAACACATGACCAACCTTACAAGAAATCCTCAAATGAGTCCTGCATCTGGAATCTAAGAAACAATAATCATTACCATGAATACACAAGAAAGAACAAAACCCACTGGTAGAACACACATGCAAACGAGAAAGAGAAAGAAACTGTATCTTACAACCTCCAAAACCCAAAAAACACTGAAGACAAACAATAAAAGAGAAAGAAACAAAAGACATTTAAAACACCAAATGAAAATTGATAAAATGCCAGAGTGAGACAATACCTTTCAGTAAAAACCCTAAGTGTAAATGGATTAAATTCCCCACTCAAAAGTCAGAGTGGCTAATTAGATTTAAAGGTAGACCCAATATGTTGTATACAAGAAACTCAACTCACCTGCAAAGACACACACAGACTAAGAGTGAAGGCATGGACAAAGATATACCACACAAACAGAAATAAAAAACGAGAAGGACTAGATATTCTAATAGCAGTTAAAATAGACTTTAAGCCAAAAACTATAAAAAAGAGAGAAAACAGGCCACTATATAATGATAAAGGGATCTATCCAGCAAGAAGACATAACAATCATAAATATGTACGCATCCAACATCGGAGCACCCCAGTATATAAAACAAACACTATTAGACCTAAGGAAAGAGAAAGACCCAAATACAATAATATATGGGGACCTAGACACTCTTCTCTCTGCATTGTACAGATCATCTCGGTGACAAATCAAAAGAGAAACACAGGATTTAAACCACACTTTAGACCAATTGGACTTGGCACATATGAACACAGCATTTCGTCCAACAACTACAGATATTCATTCTTCTCATCTGCACATGGAACATTCTCCAGGATAGACCACGTGTAAGGTCACAAATCAAGTCTCAACAAATTTTTTAAAACTAAAATCATTTCAAGAATCTTCCCATACCACAATGGATTAAAACTAGAAATCAATAATTAGCAAAACTCTGGAAACTATACAAACACATGGAAATTAAACAACATGCTCCTGAATGACCTATGTGTCTATGAAGAAATAAATAGGAAATCAAAAAATTTCCTTTAAAAAATATTTTATTTTATTTTTTAAAAGATGACCAGTAAGGGGATCTTAGCCCTTTACCTGGTGTTGTCAGCACCACACTCTCCCAAGTGAGCTAACTGGCCATCCCTATATAGGGATCCGAACCCGTGGCCTTGGTGTTATCAGCACCATACTTCCCAAGTGAGCCATGGGCAAGCCCAAAAAATTTCTTAAAACTAATGAAAATAAAGACACATCATACCAAAATCTGTGGGCAGCAAAAGCAATACTAGAGGGAAGTTTATTGCTATAAATGCTTACATTAAAAGAATAGAAGATTTCAAATAAACAACTTCATGCTAATCCTCAAAGAACTAGAGAAGCAAGAATAATCCAATCCCAAAGTTAGTAGACAGAAAGAAATAATTAAGATCAGAGCAGAACTAAATGAAATAGAAACCCCCAAAATGATACAAAAGATCAATGAAACAAAAAGTTGGTTTTTCTAGAAGATAATGAAAATAGACAAACCACTAGGTAATCTAACTAAAAAAAGAAGAGAGAAGACCCAAATTAGAAAAATAAGAAATGAAAGAGGTGAAATTACAACTTATACCACAGAAATACAAAGAATCATTGGAGACTAATACAAACAATTACACATCAATAAATTTGTAAACCTAGAAGAAACAGATAAATTTCTGGACACATACAAACTACCAAGACTGAACCAAGAAGAAAAGAAAATCTGAACAGACCAATAACAAGCAACAAGAATTGAAGCAGTAATCAGCAGTATCCCAACAAAGAAAAGCCCAGGACCAGATGGCTTTACTGCCAAATTCTACCAAACCTTTAAAGAGGAAGTAGTACTAATTCTCTTCAAAGTATTCCAAAAAATTGAAACAGAGGTCATTCTCCGAAACTCGTTCTCATCACCCTGATGTCAAAACTAGACAAAGATGCAAAACCCCCCAGAAAACCATAAGCCAATATCTCTGATGAACATAGATGCAAAAATTCTCAACAAAATATTGGCAAATAGAATACAGCAACACATCAAAAAAATTATACACTATGATCCAGTGGTATTTATCCCAGGGATGCAAAGATGGTTCAAAATATGCAAGTCAATAAATGTGATACGTCACATCAACAAAACCATATGTCTATCTCAATAGATGCAGAAAAGCATTTGACAAAATTCTATATCCTTTCACGATAAAAACTCTCAGCAAATTAGGTATAGAAGGAGAGCATCTCAACATGAGAAGAGCCATGTACAACAAATTTGCCACCAATATCACCCTTAAGAACAGGAACAAGACAAGGATGCCCACTATCAGTGCTCCTATTTAACATAGTACTGGAACTACTTGCCATAGCAATCAGGCAAGAGAAAAAAATAAAGGGCATCCAGATTGGAAAGGACAAAGTCAAACTGTCCCTGTTTGCAGATGACATGATCCTATGAATAGAAAAACCTAAAGACTTTTTTTTTTTTTTTAACTTCTAGTAACTTTATTTTACAAATGTGGAAATCTTCGACTTGATGATTTCCATTCCTTTGGGTATATTCCCAGTAGTGGGATAGCTGGATCGTATGGTAGATCTGTGAGAGTGGGCATCCTTGTCTGGTTCCTGTTCTTAAAGGAAAAGCTTTTAGTTTTTCCCCATTCAGGATGATATTGGCCGTGGGTTTATTGTATATGGCTTTAATTATGTTGAGATATTTTCCGTCTATACCTAATTTATAAAGGGTCTTTGTCATGAATGAGTGTCGGATCTTATCTAATGCTTTTTTGGCATCAATAGAGATGATCATATGGTCCTTTTGTTTGATTTTATTAAGATGTTGTATCACATTTATTGATTTGCGTATGTTGAATCAACCTTGCTTCCCTGGGATGAATCCCACTTGATTGTGGTGAATGATCTTACATATGTGCTGTTGTATTCTGTTTGCTAATATTTTATTGAGGATTTTTGCATCTATATTCATCAAGGATATTGGCCTGTAGTTTTCTTTCTTGGTTATATCTTTACCTGGTTTTGGTATCAGGATGATGTTTGCTTCGTAGAATGTGTTTGGAAGCTTTGCTTCTGTTTCAATCTTTTGGAATAGTTTGTAAAGAATCGGTGTCATTTCCTCTTTGAATGTTTGGTAAAATTCTGCTGTGAATCCATCTGGTCCTGGGCTTTTCTTTGTTGGGAGCTTTTTGATAACATCTTCAATCTCCTTTATTGTTATTGGCCTATTCAAGTTTGAAAAACCTAAAGACTTTGCCAAAAAACTCTTAAAGCTGTTTAACAATTTCAGTAAAGTTTCAGGATACAAAATCAACACCCCCAAATCAGTAGCATTTTAATATTTCAATAATGAACTAGCAGAAAAAGAGATCAAGAAAGCAAGCCCACTTACAATAGACACAGAAAATATAAAACACCTATGTATTGATTTAACAAAGGAAGCAAAAGATCTCTACAACAAGAACTATAAAATACTAGTGAAAGAAATTAAAGTGGACACAAACTGATGGAAAGACATTCTGTGTTCTTGGATTGGAAGAATTAACATTGTGAAAATGTCCATATTACCTAAAGTGATTTACAGATTCAGTGCAATCCAAATCAAAATACCAATGATGTTCTTCACAGAAATAATAATAATAAAAAAAAACAGCCTTAACATTCATTTGGAACAACAAAAGACCCTGAATAGTCAAAACAATCTTGAGAGAAAAAAAA